ATTATTTAGATAAAAATAAAAAGTAATTGTTATTTTGGATTTATAAAATAAAAGTCATAAATAACGGCTATTTGAGGGGTAATTAAATAAAAGTCGAAAAAGTAATTGTTAGGGAGCAATTTTTTTAATAACAGTTGTAACTGTTACGGTCCCTGGCTTGAACGCGTCACCTCGCCCATGGCAAAGTCCGTAAAGCAGGACATGCGGTGGTGCTGCTGTTTTTCTGGGTTAGCTCTAGTTTTCGACTTGCATATTTGAAACTAACTTGTATAGGCATGAGAACCTCAAGAAAGCATTGTTTTACTCTTTTGTGGAATTCAAATCAATAGAGATATGTCTATATTTGTATATAGTGATACAATATTGATTCGATCGATCCATATCCATTCGAATATTCATTTAGGAAGTTCTGCGCACACATATGTAAAACTTTTCTTTTATCAAGTTGCCTAATTTATCTCTAATTCATATACAATTTTGCATTTTTTGGACCACCTTACTGCTTATCGTTTTGATAGTTTTCGTAAGCCACTATATTTTACCACCACACAGCGCAAGTTGCGTGTAGAGTAAAGAATTTTTCATAATATTAGCTTATAAGGCTGTTTTTTGTATTTTGTGCAAATTCCACACGAAATCCACATACGATCCACATACAATCCACATACGTTACACAAAAGATATACGCCATTTTTCGCTTTTCATACACATTAGACTTTTTTTCTATTTTTATTCAAATACATATTAGAAATTATGCATGGCTTTTTTAATAAACCACAATATATTCTTGAAGATATTCCTTCATGTCTAACATTTTATTTAGCCGCACTGCCACACTTTGCTCATTTTTCAATTCAATTATTTTTCCTACGCTAATTTCAATTATTAATTTATTCGCTGTACTAAGTATAAATAATCATTTGTTATTTTGAGTTTGCCCATTAAAAAACGGTTGCACGCCTTTGCCGCTTGCGCTCTCTCGCGCACAACAGCAGTCTAAAAAATTGAATAGTCATCAATCGAATCACACATCTGTTCTTCATTTGTTTGCTCACTAATTTCATTGGTGTGCGTCTAAAGTTTATTTTTGTTTGTTTATTTACTTAAGCGATATTTGTGGTAGGAAGTGGGTAGTCAGTCGCGCGTATATGCTAATGTACTTGTTTACAAATATATTTAATGAAATTTTCATCTCTAATATTAATTTTGGAAAAGTATGTACAAATATTAAAAATATTTTTCCCATTTGCTTTCAGTTTTCATTGACTTGCAGCGGTAAGTACTGAAAACTTTTATATTCAAGTGCGCGTACCTAATATTAAATATTTTATGACTAAAAATCAACATAATTCTGCTTTCCACATTTTAATTAATCGGCTACGCTATAGTCATCAATATAATTACTAAAAATCGAAGCACGCAGGAGAAGTAAAATTTTTTTTTTTAAGAAAAATATTAAAAAAAATTTATATTTGCGTTTTTTAAGTGCAATCCAACTTTCCAACAACGCTTCAACCCTTTAATATGCTTTATTCGACCCAATTGATAAGTCTTGAATGCCATTTACTGCAAGATTTTCTTATGTATTTTCGTATAGCTAAGTTATACAAATTTTGAAGAAAAAAATCCACATATGCTCCGCAAAATGTTTGAGTTATTAATTTTATGTAAAGCCGGCTTATTTATAAGCGTTGCAAAAGTGCCGAAAAAATACGTTCCAAACATATCATCCACACATACATATATTTTTTTATATAAAAGCAATTTTAATTCTTGAGGATCCACACACCCATAAAGGAAATTTATGTTGGCATGTGTGGCATGTGTAATTCAACAACAACTTTATTTTACGCTTTTGCTTCTAGATTCTTGTGGCTAAAATATTTTTTGTGGATTATAATGTATTAAAAAGTAAAATATTTTTGAATGTCATTAAATTTTTGGGAGCTTATTAAGAGAATTGCCAGAACTGCCCTGTCAAACTAATGACATTTTCTTTTCTACCAAAAAACGTTACCTTCTCATTGGCCGCTTCGCTCAAACAGCAAAAAGAGGGCAATGAGAAGGCAGCATATTTTTTTGTAGAAAAGAAAACGCCAACAACATCACATAAGATTCAGATATATTACTATTTATTTGTTTATGCAATTTAATATTGCAGCATTTTTTGGTATGCATAGTTTTCTATTTCCCCTCGTGAACGATTCTTTTCATTTCGATTCACTTAAATAATGTGTAATTGTGCTCACTCACTAGTCTAAGCAAATTATTTTCTCAAGAACAAATTAAAATATCTGGTTTTTTTTAAATAGTATTGCGTACGTACCAAATAAAAGCTCATATATGCATTCTACATAAAATCCACAGATGTTTTTGTCGATAAACAGTTTTTTTTTTTGTCATTTCAAACAGCTTTTAGAAACATTCGCATATCATCCACTTATGTATCTACGTTCCACTTAAAGTCCACACAAATTTTCGGTCTAATATTTAGTTTATCCAGCTATTTTTCTTTTATTTGCGTTTTCACATAAAATTCGCATATGTTCCAATCAAATTCCACATACCTCCCACATAAAATTCACAACAATTTTGGCAAAATTTTTATTTTACAAAGTGTTTCTATTATTTCGCGTGTAGATTTCTTTTAAACTGTTGCTCATTTTATTTAAATTTAAAATACATTGTAATTATGTAATATCTTTCAACTGGAGTGTTCGTTAATGACACAACTTTTATGTTCTGAGTTTTATGGCAAATCGAAAGTTGCTAATGAATTTGTATATTTTTTCATCTCGATTGGGTTGGGTAAGTCTGGCGAATTTAGTTGTTAATTATTTTCCATTATATACCTCAGTTTCGGATAATTTTCACTTTTTTACCTCACACCTTTCATTTGTGTAGTGAATCCCTTTCAGTGTTGGCCTGGTTTTTGCAGTAGCCTCACGGACACTTTTTGTTGGCTGGTTTTTTTTCGTTTACTGACGACCGCTGTTGCAGCGGTCACAAACCTCAAAGGTCCCAAAGTGATTATATTAAAATGACAAGCAATATGTAGCTGGAGCAGGATGTTAGCAGAAGCAGCAGCAGCAACAGCATCAGCAACCTCTGTATGCGCTACAAATTTCCATAAAATCAACCGCAGAAGCTACACGGATACGAAATAGCCGACAAGAAGTTGGTCAGCGGCGGAAAAGAACACGCACAACTTACTTACTACCAGTGCATGGATACACATAAATTTACATGTGTTATCTGGGACGCTTACAGAAACCGCCAAACAAGCAGAAAATATTTTTTGTATTTTTATTTTTTTATTTTTTTTCGCCTTATCTTCCTTTACGACCTGCTGCTTTATGCCACGTTCGTATGTACATAATGAAGAGCGAATGACCAAAGCAGAAATAAAACGCAAGAAAAATTACAGCAATGAAGGTAGCTCAGCTGCTGGCCGTAGGGACTTTGCAGCCTCATTGATGACCGCTGAGACATTGAATGGATTTTCTGGCGTTCGTTTCATTCGCTGCAGTATACAGTGTGGTATGGTGTGCGTGAAGTAAGCGTTTTTTGGAGGGGGTTAATAAACAATAGAATCAAATCGATTCGAGACAATACCTTTTGGGCTGCTGCTCTTCTTCTTTACGTATCAGATTTCACTTCTGAGGCCAACACGTGTATGTTGATAGGCTTTATTTTTGGTTTTTTTTTTCTTGCTGCTCATCGAAAGGCATATAATCGGCGTAAAAGGAAAAGAAGATCATTTTATCTTTTGGCTACAGACCTTCGGAGCACCACATTAAAATTATACTGAATAAAATTTGGTTTTATTTTTATTTGTATTAAGGCGCAGAGTAAAAACTGCGAAAAAGCATTGCAAAATTTTTAAACGACCCTTAGATATAGTTTTTCTCATACACCACGTAATAAAATATATTTTTACATTCTTATTTTTATGCAGTTTTAATAGGTTCCACATACGTTCCACACAGTCCCAAGTCAAAACTTGTATAATTTTTTTGGTAACCACGCAAATATTTTAACATTTTTAGTCTTACATAAAATCCACATACATTCCACATGCAATCCACACAGTTCAATGTTAAAATTTGCATTATTCCAAATATTTTTTATAACCCCGCACATATTTTAACATTTTCTCCTTACATAAAATCCACATACGTTCCACATAGATTCCACATAAAGTCTGCATGCCTTCCGCAACAAATTCACTCAGTTTTTTTTTCAAGAATTTAATTTTCCAACCACCCATAAAATTAAACTTTCACTCGCCTGCAAATTTGCTGCCCGAAGCCGCTCGCCCAATTATTCTATCCCCCATATGGGAGTTCATTGTCCCAAGCGCCTAAAATGCTGCTGCGGTCACACATATGTACATACATATGTTTATTTGCGGTTCAATATTTTCTTCTTCATTTATTTTCCTTTTCTTTTCCTTTCTATCGCCAATGAGCCACTGTAGTGAATTGCAAATTGAATCAAAACATACGAATAGCTGCAGCGTGTGTTTAATGTGTGCGCGCCTATAAGTATGCTACTTGGATGTTGTCAAAATCACTAAAACTCGACAAGCATCGGCAAGTAGACAAGAATTAGTGAATGTGCGCGTACATATGTATGTATGTGCACAACGAAGCGGAAATCTTTATTTTATATAGTTTGCTTAAAGCCAAAAATAGCCACACAAGTAAAGAAGTTGCTTTTTTCTGGCGCAGAAGAGGAGAAATCAATTTTTACGCTATATTTTTTGCTTTCATAATTTCCGAAACTTTCGCCTTTTTGCGAGTTTTTGATGCAAAATTTTTTTCTTAATTTTTTGTTATTATTATTTTTTATTTCCTTTTTGCCGGAAAATTTGATGACCGGCGTCATTTTGTGACGCGCGCTCCTTCATTTGCAAATAAAATGCTCCTTATTTTTATAGCATATTTTATGGCGCTTACTTTAATGACAATTCTTCTCAAGCGTTTATAAAAACTTACCTTAATTAAATTTCGTGTGGCATGTGATTCGCGCTGAAATGACAGAATGCAAGAAAAAAGTTAGTTAGACAAGATTTATGGCTTTAATAAAAATGTCGTTAATAAACTTAGCTTAGGATTAATGTTTAATTTAATTAAGCTTCAGAAATTTGGTCACTCGCAGCAAATATGTATTGTTGTTTTACTTTTCGTTGCATAATTATAGGCTGTGTACATTGCACGGAATACGTAGATTTGAAGTATTTGAAATTAAAAATAATTTCATTCAATTCATTTTAATTGCATATCTTCAGGCGTACGTGCAGCAGGATTGATAATTTACGACCAATATGTATACTAAAGTACTTGTGCCAATTTCAAATAGGTAATTGAGCCTAGTTTATGTGTGAATAGTTTTAGTTGCATACTTTTGGGTGCATAAATATAGGTTTTTTTCCAAAGTTCATACCAAATAAAACTCAAGACAGAATAAAAGCAACTGAGCCTAAATTACTGAAAATTAAAAACTTTAAAAATTCTGAATCCAAGTAAATTTACTTATGTACAATTAATATTTCTACTGCCTACTTATAGGCTGATTAATCGTCAAACTTGTTTTGTTGCATATTTTTTACTTAAATAAATGCAACTTATGTCAGAATTAATGTCTCTATTCAGCAGTCCTTTTGCAAAAAAATTTATGGATATTTTTAATTGCCTGATTTTAGGCGCTGACTGACAGCGCTTTAGAAGAATTTCCGATCGAAACAACAAAACGGAGCTTAATTACTTAAGCTAAAGAAAATATAAAAATAAATTTAAAGTAATTGAAACCATTGATAATACGTTTCTTTACACTATTTCGCATTCAACACCTTACTCGTGTTTTAAATTTACATAACCACAATTTCTTCCAAAGTCTATTCCATATATCAATGCTGTGAGATTTTTTTTTTTAATAAACACTACAATGTGTATTGGTAGCCTTTAGTTATGCATTGTCATTGCGTGTAAAAAAAACAGTTAATGCCCTTTTCATTCCTTTCATTGAACTATCATGACATATTGTTAATAAATGATTATGTGTTGCATACTTTTTGTCTCACTAATGAAATTGGCTTACAGCAGCAAATTGTAAAAGTAGATTAATGCCATACATTGTATATTTTTAGCTGCGCGCAGAAGGCGAAAAGTTTAATTTGATTAAAGTTGCGATTTAATTATACAGTTTTCAGCATTTAAAGCATACTTTTAGGAGTGGTTGACATTTTTGCTGCTTTTGTTGTCATTGAAGAGGTAATAAGTCTGCTTTCAGCGAAAAGCAATTGATTTCAAATATACAATATGTAATTTTTTAAATTTTTTAATAACTTTATAGCATAATTTTAGGCGGCTGTTTAACTTTTACGGCCTCTGAGCCCATAAAAATGAGCTTTGATTAAAGTTGCGATTTAATTATACAGTTTTCAGCATTTAAAGCATACTTTTAGGAGTGGTTGACATTTTTGCTGCTTTTGTTATAATTGAAGAGGTAATAAGTCTGCTTTCAGCGAAAAGCAATTGATTTCAAATATACAATATGTAATTTTTTTAATTTTTTAATAACTTTATAGCATAATTTTAGGCGGCTGTTTAACTTTTACGGCCTCTGAGCCCATAAAAATGAGCTTCGTGCAAAGATTAGGCTGGTCAGACATGATTACTGCAATGTAGTTATTTTGCGAAATAAGCCTTGCATGCTTTTAGGCTACTTTTTATGATTCAATGCTGTAGTGAAATAAAAAAATAATAATTAATTCCACTTATTCATTTAAATGAAGTTCAACTCAATTGTCGTTTCGTTTAACTCTTCTATTATTTACGCAAATGAAGCTTATTTGTAGCAAGCTTTTAAGCATATTTGTTCAATTCAACACTTTTTATGACTATTATTTTTTAAATGAACTCACTTATGGCATTTCAATCGAACTATTAACATAAACGCTTGAATTTCTTTGAATTATTAAACATTGTCCCTCGGCAGGCAATGGCAAACCTCCGAGTGTATTTCTGCCATGAAAAAACAGCTTCTCATAAAAATACAATCGCCGTTCGGAGTCGGCGTAAAACTGTAGGTCCCTCCGCTTTGTGTGACAACATCAAGGCGCACGCCACAAGTCGGAGGAGAATCTCGGCCAAACACTAACATATGTGTAAGGGCCAATTTATTATTATTTTTATTAAACATTGCATACTTTTTCGGTAAAAGATTATTTTCTATAAAATTTAAAATCAAGCGCAAAAGCAATCAAATCGATTTATGCATAGCGTTTATAAATTTTTAAACAGCAAAACAATCGCTCGACTAATCTATGCAAAATTTTAATTAAAACAGCCGATAAGTATGCAATAGAAATACACGAAACAGTATCGCACACAGCAGCAACAGCGTCTAACAATGAAATTTAATGAAAATATAACCCCTCCCCCTCCCGCGTTTCGCTCACTCTCCTCTAGCCCACACCAGCTTGCCATGCCGTTATTCACGAGCAACCGCAAATTTTGACCTCGTGACCTAAACTCTATGTAAGTGGTAAGTAGAGAAGCTGAAAGCAGCACCGAAAAGTATGCTTAACATAAAGTAATCTAAAGAAAACAAATAAACGCAAAGCCGCTTTTGCAGCAACTGTGGGTAACTGGGGGCGGCTGAGTTTTGTTTGTGCGCCTAAAAGTCCCCATCGACACTTTGAACTTGTTAACCCTTTTACTTTCACTTGATGTGGTCTTGTGTAAACGCACTTTTTGTCGCACGCACAGGCATACGCAAAACATATAGAGACTGTGTCGCCATTTGCAGGGGGCGTTAGTTGAGTTAACTCTGCAGTCACGCCTTCACTGGCAGACACACACACACACACACACACATTCTTACAATGTTAAACAGCAAGGCGCACCGGCAAGTTTATTAAAATTCTATGAAAATCTGTACAAGCAGCAGCTGTTTGTCTCATTTACAGTTAAAAGCAAATGTATGGGTGAGCACAAGGGAGATGTTGGTGTTTATTGGGGCTTTTGTATAGCATACGTTTAGGCTGGAGGGTAGTGCTGCGGTTTATGTGTGTAGGTCTTTTTGTCACGTATTCGGTGTAGCAGCGGCTGTAAATTCAATCCGTTGATGTGTAAATACAAAATTAGTGAGTATTTTTCAATCAAAAGTGAGTTGAAAGGAGAATGGAAATTTGAGTCAGTTTTAAGAGGGAGGCAAAGAGCTTTTGAATGTTGATGGAAATTTCAGCAGAAAAAAATATTTTGTAAGAAGGTACAAATTTCCATAAAGGAGTTTAAAGGCACATCGACTAGCGCACCTAAAAGTATGCAATTGAATATTCGTAGGCTTTCTTTTTAATGAGGAAAAAAAGCTTTTGCGATAACAACCAAAAGTATGCCTTGAAAATTTAACATAAAACGTGAAATATTCAAAAAGCAGAAAATTTCAGTAGATACCAACATAGTATAAAGGACTATATTAGTCATTATAGAGTCTATTAAGCAGCCAAAAGTATGCAATAAAATATCTTAGAAACCTTAAAAAAATTGCGAAATCAAAGCAACCAAAGGCATGCCCTCAAAAATTGTATTCAATTAAAAAAGGAAAGTTGAACGTTCAAAGCTAGACTTCTGTTACATTAGCAAGCTTAAGAATAATTTAAGGCTATGGTTATGCAATCAAAACCTTTAAAATTTAATTTGTTTTTTAATTTTAATTAGCGAGCACGAATGCATTTTTAGTTATAATTAATTACCGATTTAATTCAAGAGCAACGAATTACATGCACTAAGAAAATTAAGAAGCATTACCAGGCTATACAAAATAATGTTAGCCTATAAATATGCTATTAAAAAAAAATTTTAAATCAAGCAGAAAAACACTTCATAGAACGTCCGATAAGTTAAAAGTATACAATCCAAGATTTAAAAAATCAGAAAATACTTTTGGGAAAGTCTAGTGGCTAAATTTTTTTATACTTCGATTCATTCGAAACCTCAAATTGAGGAAAAACTAGCTTTAGTCTAGATTTATGCTATGAAAATATTTTAAATTAATAAAAAATGCAATTTTTTATTAAACTGCCGACATATTTTTTTTACTTTGGGACAGAATGATAGCAGCTAAAATTATGCAACAGATTTTTAATTACGTGTAAACTACAAATAATAGAAGGGCTACATGAATTGAAATTTGTAGCTAGCTGTTATGAAATTGTTAAAAGTTAAAGCACCTAAATGCATGCAACGAAAATATAAGAGGATTAAAAAATGTTTGAAAAAGTACAAAGCCACAATTTGAATGCTTGTTGCATCACCAGCCTTAATATTGATTAAACAAAATATTTTGAGCCTATAAGTATGCAACTCAACGCATATATAGCCTTCTACATAAATTTACTAAATTTCCTAACATTTTGAAAACTACTAACCAGTTGCTACAAGAAGTTTGTAGTTAAATCAGAAAACCCTTAAAATAAATTCCCACAACCCCTAAAAGTATGCATTTATATCAGAAAAAAAATTATGAACTCTCACAGCGGTTATTAGCAAGGCATTACAGCTTTAGCAAACCAATAAAAACTTAGCGCTTGAAGCAATTTATAAAGTCAATAATGATTTTAAAATTTCAGAAAGATCCTTACTAGTTTCATCGAAATGCGCTTATAAGTTCTTTTTAATTCGATCAAATTTCCAGATTCAAGAAATTTACTGCGCAACGGCCCTCTGAAATATGTTAGTATTTCAGAAACTTCTGTAGATTAATTT